ACATGTCTGTGAGGTGTGCGCTGCCGGGCGATGTGCTGCGACGAATGACGAACACCTTGACCAAGGCTAGGGAAAACACAGTTCAGTGCAAAGGCTTTTCTGTTCAAATTGTGAGCACAGAGTTTACTTACTGAAGACGTCTCTAAGAAAAGGATTGATGCTTGCGACGCACATAAACAAGAATGAATCAGTGAAGAAGAGAAAATTCAGTCCGGCAAAATCTACAAAAATGTAGGAATTTGTTGTGTACAAAACCAGTGTAACAATGAGGCTTGCTTCCTGGAATGACATCACGATTTTGTCCATGAATATGGAAATATCGTTAGCATTAAACCCAAAATGCAGTATAATACCCGTTAACGTGGAAGAAGTCAAGTAACAAATCAATTTGGCCAAAACACAAGCAAGTCACAAGTCTTTTTGTCCAAGTACAAGTCGCATATTATTTTACCTAGCTATAATTAGTAAATGGGGCAGGGCATCAACCTACAACTTGCAAGCTTCAGATAAATGATTTTAAATCGCTTGATTAGTTACCATGGTTACATGTACGAGGATATACTTACACTTTATTAACTATTTTTATGTGTACTACTACACTTTTACGGTACACTTACAATAATACTCCTGTCAAGTGATACCAAATGCATGCCACTGTGTCTGCCAAGTTAAATTATTAACATGACTGCCAGCAATTACATAAAATCTTGGTTTCTAATCATGAATGCTTCTTTTACAGTGTAATTAAGCATTGAATTACGCAAATGACTTTTTCCGAAGTTTCACTTGACTGCGGCCTGAAATAACGCACATTGGCCAGCCGCCGCGGCCACAGATGGAGTCGTGTGATTTCAAGCCACAGCCAAGTGATAAGACGTGGCCTTTGGCAGACGAGACCGAAGTAAAAGTCGGGAGCCGAACGAAGTCTTACGCTTATTATTCTAAGAACGCGTAACGCAAGGCGTACGTTGATAGGGTAAATTCAAAAGTATAATAGATTCAATCGAGAAGTTTTCTGACTTGCGTTAGTAAAAAGTCATAATATGTAAGTCCAAGTCAAGTCACAAGTCATTTTTCGCAAGTCCAAGTCAAGTCACTAGTCAAAAACTGACAGTTACAAGTCAGGTCAGGGGTCACAAAAATAGTGACTCGAGTCCGACTAGAGTCCAAGTCAAAGGACCCGAGTCTACAACTGTCTTTTTGCTTCATTTTGCTCAATGCATGTGGCGATGTTATGTAACCAATTCTGAACATTCCTCACTTACTCTGTTCTGGCTTTAAAAAGAACACCTAAATAATATTGCCATAGACACTTTCTATTTTTACATAATATAAAGGACACTATCGCGCACACAGAAACCGTGCTACAGGTATTTTGAAACAATTGGTTTCATCTTAGGTCAGTAGCTCACTCGCAATTATCAAACAAGCAAATCCTAGAGATGAGCCAGAGTCCTCCGTTTCGAAAACGCCCATTATACATATCTCAGTACACGCTAAATCAGTGGCGTATCCAGCTTTGGTTAGGGGGGGGCAGAGGCAAATTTAAAAGCGAATGCGGCTTCGAGCTTTTTCAACATGATGTTGGGGGAGAAAAAATATCAAAAGCTAACTTCACGGTCCCAACATCCTTGTTTTTATTTCGTGGTTTTTTTTATTTTAGTGTTAATATTTGACAAATAAAATTTTATTATTAATATGTGATTAAAAATTAGGGGGGGGGTTGTTGCCCCCTGCGCCCCCTCCCCGCTGGATACGTCACTGCGCTAAATAGTGGACATTACACATTCTTAGTCTCAAATGGACATAACCCGTAGCTTTACTCTGAGCGCGGGTGCAGGCTGCACGGTTTGGACACAGTTCTGGTTTTTAGGGTGAGCAATTGTACATGTACGTTGCTGAGCACTAGAGACGAACACCCCCCATATTATTTCCACATAATGTTTTCCGCAGCACCTTACCCACCGACTACCATGATCAACCACCTAGTTCAGGGGTTCGAACGACCTCTCTCCCTTCCTTCTTGGTTTGCCGTTGGCATATATTCAAAAAGCCCCATTCAAGTCTGCCTTCCCCGTTTACCCCTAGATCCATCCATGGAGATCTCTTATGATCCCCCCACCACACACACACCCACACCCGTCAATGTCACGCATGCGACTACCTTTCCCTTTGAACTAGTCTCGCTCACTGATGCACTTTCGCTCGGCCTTGTTTACCACAAATCGTGTAGAGCTAGACTTGCAACATACAAAAACGTGAAGCCATTACGCGATGAAAATAACAAGGAATTGTAATCGGTATTGGTACTGTATATAGGTTCCAAAATTTTTTTCTTATGAACGAATACTGAGTGTCCACGTAAGCCTATGATTTTATCAATAAATAAAATGGTCAGTACAGCAAAACTGCGCATAATTGATACGCCTGCATCTTGGATGTGGTAATTTGCCTGATGCATGTAATAATGGCATTGCCGGAGGAGGTTGAAGGTCGTAGAATGGGACCACATCACGCCATGGAGTAAGGAAAGCCTGATAGTTTTCCCCGATGTACACGTATGATCTGTATTGGTTTCGGGAGGAAGTCACGGTCACCGACGTGTGTATCTGATCAACATAGAATAGGTAGGTTTTCTACACAGTTTACAAGCTGATATTGTAGGTTTGATGAATGCTTGCCACATTACTGCTGCATAATCAGATTGAATTTATGGTGGTCCAGCCATCTTTCGTCTCCCTTTTTTGACAATAATTCAATGTGGCTAATTTCTCCTACGAGACGACACACTGTTATGTATGAATGTCGAACTTGACACGAACATTATCCCTGATCTGCAGATGCGCATACAAGTGAGGCGTCAAGATGATGCGTGTCATCAAGTGTCATATTACAAGAGCTGTTTCAATACAAAACAGCCAACTTCTGTCAATTGTATCGCGTGAAGCTCATGCATGGAATCTGACAAATCTTAAATTTAGCAACGATTTCGTTGGGGGTGTCGATTTTGCCTTTTGCTTCTGCGATTAATGAAGAGCTAACGTTCAGGAACATAGAAACCGCAATGTACCGTTCAACATATTCCGGACAGGTAAGGATACTAACGTGAAATACGGTGCTTATACAACCATGGTGTTGAGATGTGCATGTTTTCGTGACGTCACTAGAACATCATCAGGTAATTACTGATTATTCAAAGTCAGATTTAAAAGATATTGTTTCAGCTAGAAATTTGAACCAAATTTTAAGTATCAAAATAAGAACACGATAATAGTAGACCATATTTTGTGGAAAATTACTCATTTCTACAGAAAGTAAGGTGACCTTGAGTTCGGCACAACCGAAGTACCATGATATGGGATTAACTAAAAAAAAGAAAGCTCTAACATGAAAGGTTGCCCTTTTGTGGCACGTCAAAGGCAGTCTTTTGGAACATTAAGATTTGTTTACCATAATTTAATGAAAGTGGACGAACGCCACTTCTGAGACACAAATTATTTAGTGAAGTTTCAAAATAATGACGTTATCGTCCCGGAAGTTATTGAAGACACATTTCCAGATAATCGGTTTCCTCTTTGACTTTGTTTTCGTCATTTGAAATACATGTGGGCATACTTCAGAGAAACTTGCGCAAATAATAAGATTAAGACTTAGTACATTCTTACGACACACATCAAAATTCGGTGACGACATTAAACAGAAATCCCTCGATCACCCAAGTTTGAAACTAAAACAAACACGTCTAGTTTAGTTTAAGTTTTGTCTTTTTTATTTTGTTGATTTTTTATGAGTGGCTTAAAATAATCTCTTTTCCCAAATTTGATTCAGATGGAAGTTCTTACTAGCACTTTTAATGAAGAAGTAAGTTGAGGGTAAAATTTAAGACGAACATGCATGAAAATGTCTTTCAAAATACATACAACGGATAACGTAGGATTCGCGGCAACCTTTGTCCCATCACTGAATTTTTCATAGAGTCCGTGTGAACGACCACTAAATCAAGACACTCGTGAGCTGTGGCACAAGTAAACTAATGATTTTTTTTACTGCCCATGTACAGTATAGATACCGCGTTTCTCGAAAGGACATCGTCGTGGCTCAGAGTTGATGGTGAAATTCTACGAACCACGTGCACGTATAGTCACTACACATTCAACGAGAGTCAGTAGCGTTTGCTAGCTCAACAAGCTCAATTAGCCTTCGTTCAGACATGAAAGAACAGAGACTAAATGTGTTGAGGTCATAGTCGTATCAAGCGCAGCCCTGCCAGTACGCCGCGCCAAGAAATCGTAGGTCACAAGATGGCGACAGCCGAGACTGAAGAAATGTCCCGGCTTCGTGTGGAAGGCAGAGACGAAATAGCAGACGCAGAACGTAATCAAGGGGACCAAGATGCAAACAAAGAATCCAACAAAGTGGAGGCTGATGGATTACGAGGCTGGTTAGTATCATGATTCTATAAGATGACGTATGATGTGTAATATCCCCACCCGTTGCAGATAAAATAGTTCGCGGCAAGACGTTTTTATCCTTTGCTTTTTCTCCTCTTCGCTTGGTTCAATAGTTCTGATATTTTTATGTCATGTTTTTGTTTTGTTGCTAATGTTTTGTTGTTAATTGTTTCTTTTGTTGTTAGTTTCAGTTTTCGTGTGCGTTTCCTTGCTTTGCTTCGTTCCCTGCTGAACATTTCCATGCTGAGTCTTTTGACAGAGACCTTGGATTTTTTTATATTTAATTAGACAGCATCGAAACTCAGCCCAAGACAAGTTTGGAGAAACGGTCTTTAACTGTGCATACAGTGAAATCTATTTCTTACCAAACAGTTGCCTTAATTGTGATTCTTCGTACCGACTCCTAACCTTCATCATTTACATGTGATCAGATGGGTATTAGAGGTATTCATTTTGTGACTCTTCCTTACGTTTGCGTGACGTCATATACAGCAGGCAGCAGTTCTGACAATAACTGGCAAAGTATTTGCCTTGTTGGTTTAGCGAAACTGTGCATACTACTTGTCAGCTTCGGATACTTCATTGGTTCCCCACTCAATTCAAAATTGGTTTTGTTCAAATTCAAATCATGCACGCTTATTTTCACCGTCACTCAGTTTTGCACATTTTTCAGACAATTTCATACAATATTCGCGAAAGACAATTCAATTTCGTTGTCTACATACAATTGCCGAAAGTCAGATAGAGGAAGCGATAAGTCGTGATTTTGTAACCAATGTTGTATTTGATGTAAATTCGTCACTTGATTGTATGCTGTCTTTGGTATTCTCACGTTTTCATATGTTCATTTCTACTTTACATATTTACTTTATTTTTGTGTGCCTGTTTTACGTAAGTCGATGTTGAATAACTTGTATATACCATTTTGATCCCTGTTTGTGTATCCATTAAGTCATTCTACACTTTTATGCAGGAACAACTACAAGAAATATGGTCTCTACACAGGCAAACGAAAGTGTAGGAGAACTACTCTAACTAAAACCGGGCATGCTGGAGGTCAAACTAAACCGTATCACAGCCTTTTTCTGATACTGAAGCATGCTTTTCTCGAAACTAAGTAACGTTTTCAGTGTTCTGAGGTTGGAAAGTAACAATTCTTTGTCTTTAAGTAAGGCACTGATGTCAAATTATGATAGTATGGAAACGGCGTGTATGTGCTCATAGTTTCGCGCGTATCCGGTTCGTAAGTGACTTTGTCACAAAGGCGGACGCGCCACGATTTGCAGGCTCCCATTGGACGATCACAGAAGTTGCGTGTTAACTTCCGGTTCCATGGTTCCACATAGAACGGCGATCAATGCATGTAACTCTATGTGCAGTGCATGTGCATGAAGTGGGCGTGGTTTAAACTGAAGTGACGCCACACATACGAACCGGATAGAGATTTGTATTGTTACGTCATAGATTTTAGCAACTTCGCAAACCAGTGGTAATAATGCGTATGCGCCTGCCTTATTACCACATGTTTCATGGGAAATGTCCTTTGCGCAGTTTACGCCAACAAACACGCCGTCTCAACACAGACATAAACGCATAGACCGCCAGGTCTTATTAAAAATTACAAGGGTTTTCGTGATTTGCGCGGTGCCCGACTAAAATCAAAACTATGGGCAAATTCACCCCTTGGTATAGGGAATTTACGCACACTTGAAGAATTCCAGTCATAAAATTCTATGAAGCCATTTTTCGATTAAAAAAAATCCTCTATTTACTTTATCTGTTCCTTAAGGATTCGAAAAAATGCAGTTGAAACATTTGAAAAGAAAAGATAGCAGTACAAGAGGGCAAAAAGGAGAACGCATTTTGGGAGCACATGTAAACAAATACAGACAAAGTAAGTGCGTTGCGCGTAATGCGCACTGGACGCGCTGCCATCCGTCGCTTTGCTCATTGTTTGCCCATACTTTTCAAAATCACGGTTACACTGACGGTTTACGCGTTTATATGTCTGTGGGTCTCACTGTCGCACAGCACTTTTGGGCGTCGTCGCATACTCTCGGTCACGTATGTTTCAGAGGGAAATTATTAACTGCACATGTCCCCTTTTTGAGGTCATTTGCATGCGCAATGACGGCCATGGGAATTCGTGCCAGGCAAATAGCTGCATCATTTTATGAAATTTACGTCTTATTTTCACTTTTTGGAAATAATGTGTTTTGTGAAAATAAGATTGACAAAGTAGTACCAGAGTTGTCAAAACTAGTGATTTTTTGTTGAAAGCTCTTTTCCTAAGCGGTTAGTTTGTTTACGTTTTGATGCGATTTTTGAAGGCTACAAACAAAGAATTCAAATTTTTCTTGAAGTTTTCAATGGTGGACTGTGGTGGAGAAAGGTGTGAAGGTTTGCTGACGGTTTGGCGCTAGATTTTTTTCTTTTCCAGGCAGGACGTGTTTGCATATCGACCTAACTCAGCACCGATTCCGTTTATCCGGCATAATCTTACGGCCTTGCGAGCGTAAGAATTCAGTGACTCGGGAACGAAAAACAAACACAAAAGTACAGTAAGTTCACATGAAATTTATTATTGAACCTGAGGTATATCTGTCATTATAAAATTACCAGGAAAATGTTGAAAGTCACGGTATACATCCCCAGTTTTACATGTACAATTGTTACACCCGTGTATGACCGAAAGGGCATACATGTGCAGGTGTTACATTAAAATATGATGTGATACACAGTCCTGTAAAAATAATGGAAATACACCGGTCAGGAATACAGGAAA